GCTTTACTGGTGTGGGGGTTTTTTTTCTCCCTGGTCTAAGTCAAAGCACATGTGCACAACTCTGCTTCCAGGACCCTTGCAAAGCCCAGCTTGGGCAGCACCATGTGGTCCCGCCCCGGAAGCTCCCGGGGCTCAGGATGACTGGGAAGGGGGTGAGGATCTGGGTACCACCCACCCCCTCTGCTCCCACCACACCCGGGGTGGTCCATGGGATGCTCCAGTCCCTCGGTCAAGGTGAGTCGTCTGCTCCAGCTCCACCATTATTACCTGGTTGAGCTGGAGAAACCCCACCCGAGCCAGCTTTTTTTCTGGGATTTGGCCAGTTTGGAGCAGTCTTTCCCCATTAAACTTGAAGGAGAGGAGCAGAATCCCAAACTCTCCCCCTCCCGTGCCGGGGGCGGTGTGGGGATGCTCTCGTGCGAAGGAGCATCCCGGGATGCCTCGGAACGAAGCCGCCCCCCCTCCGCGCTCGCCCTGGGAAAGGGAAATGCCAGAAGCAGCTTCATTCCCGTCTCTTCTTCCTCACGAAACCCGAGAGGGGCTCACTTTGTAGCTCAGCATCCCGGAGCCTAAATTGAAACAATCTCTTCGCCGCCGCGTTGTTCCCCGAAGCGTTTCCTCCTCCCGCCGGGGCCGTGTCAGCGCCGTGTCAGCCCCTCGCGGGCGATGCCATCAACGCCGCCCTTCTGAAGGGCTTTTTCGTTCTGCTGCGACCGCATTTCATCTGTTTTCCCTTCCTTTGAACTTCGTCCAAGCCCGGTGTCGGTTTGGCTGCCGGGAGGGAGGCAGGGCAGCCCTGCCCGGCTCTCGCAGCGCTCCGAGGGGTCGGCATTCCCGCAGCAGGAGATATCCCGGGAGGGGGAAGTTCCTCTTTTAGCATCGCTCCCAGGCTGCAATAATCCGAAGCAGGAGTCGCGTTTTTCTCCCGTTCAGCAGCTTTTTTTTTTTTTACAGAGAAGGGACCTGGCTGTGTGGTGCTTGGGACAGGGTGGTGAATCCCATCCTGGGTGCTGGGAATGGAGGTAATTCATGAACAGAGTCCTGGTTATGGAGCTCCAGGCTTTAGGGAGACCCCCCCAGTTTCATCTTGGCTTGTTTTAGGCGTGAGGTGGTTGTAAACCCAGCCCTAATCCTTCCCAGGCAGAAAAACATGGCCCTGAAGGAGCCAAGTGAACACGAATTTTCAAAGCAAGGAAATAGGCTGGGATTTAGGGTTGGAGAGAGAAAACACCCATCCTTGGGGGCCCTTGGGGGCTGGGCAGGGCTGCCTGCAGGCCATGGCAGCTCCAGGGGCAGCTGGGCATCAGCTTTTGGTCAGGTCCTGGGGGTGGGAACCGACTTTGCTCCATGGTTGCCCTCTCTGGGCCTTGCTGGTGATGCAGAGCTGCCCAGCCCGGGGGCTTCTGTGCAGCTTCTGGGGGCCTTTTTGCCTTTAATAATGTTGGTTTTGGCTGAAGGAGCTGCCTGACAGCTTGGGGTGTATTTATTGCTGGCTCTTGTTGCTCCCTGACCCTCCCCTATAAAACACTGGGGCCGTGGGACTTGGTGATGGCAGAGCCCTCAAACCTGGCACCCCGGGCAGCCTCGTGCTGAGCTCCCAGGGCAGAGCAGGGTCAAAATCCCAGATCCCTGTGGGATCCATCCCAGTGGTTGTTGTCCCTGAGCAGAGCAGGGTCAGCAAGCCAAAATCCCAA